GACATTGTTCATGCTTGAGAACATGTTTATGTTTTACAAATGCATGTTAGTTTTATTTGTTAATTTTTTTCCTAGAAATTGTGCTATAACAAAACGGCCAATTCATTATATATTAAAAATTAGATTGTACAAGCTAACACCATAAAATCAATCCCATTGAATTTACAAAGCACACTAGGGGATACCACAAAAAATGAAGAAATAAAATGAAGAAATCACATCTGTACTAATAAAATGAAGAAATAAAATGAAGAAATAAAATGAAGAAACAAATAGTCTAATAAAGCAAACACATCTGTACTAATAAAATGAAGAAATCACCCTCCCTCTGATACTGATATACCACTGGCTTCAAACAGAACCCCTAGCATTCAGATATCAAGCAAGAACACTGACTTCCCTATCCATCACCTACAAGTATCAGCAAATTCCCCCCATTCATTCACTGCCTGCTCCACTAAATTCCTTTCATTCATCCACTTCTTTTCAAATGAAGAATGTATGTTACTCATTTGTAATTCGATTCAACAAAAACACCCTTAATAACAGAAATGTACAACTTTCCGATGCAATAATCAAACTTAAAAATTGCGATACACCATAATAACATTATCCAAAACCTCAAACATTAGTTAAGTCCATTACAAATTATAATAAACATGATCATCCAACAACACCAAAACCGTCCAAACACAATGTAGCAAATTAGGAGGTGGTTTGAACAAACTACATTCGAAATACGAGCCCTACATAGGGGATGTGACTGAAGCAAGTAATTTTACTCAAGTGGATGCTTTCCTTTCAGGCTATCGACATCAACCTGAACAGGCATAAAGCCATTCCCAGCGCTACTTTGCACAGCCGGATGGACTGTTTCCTCGTTGACCTCTCCAAACATTTGCTGCAACTCTACCCATAAGGGGTCTCCAAGAGTTTTATAGGCCACACTGATAGGGTCGACCTGCCAAATAAATAATGTCAGTAAAAAATTTTCAACATGAATAAGACCAATCGCACACCATTATTTTATCGACATACATACCCTAAACACCGTATTCCATGCTTCTACTGGTCCCCACATCATACCACTCTCACAACAATATTTGATTCCATGCTTTTTAATCATGTCCCGCATCACCCTATGCCTTATCTTAAATTGCTCATACTTGTCTTGACAGTCCGATGGAGTAAAACATTTTCCAAAGTCAGTAGTTAACCTCTCCGCCCATAAGGTATACAGTGAGTACACATCCTTTCTATTGCCTTCTAGTAACAACGGCAAATGAGGAGACACTAATACCAGGAACCGTGCAAAGGACTTTTGAACCTCATATGTCCATTTATTATTAAACAAATATTCAATTTGCTCGGCCGGGAACTCTGATTCCATACCTGTGTTTGCAGAGGTAAGTTCATTGAATATTCAAACATATTCAAAACATATTCTGATAGTGCACAGGAAATATATTCTGATTCCCTTTACTCATGCCCATCATCAGTCATTCATATGTCAAAAAAAAAAAAAAAAAAAAGAATATATTCCCTCCTACACCATGTGCCACGGATAGCCTCATGCGAAGAAACAAGCAGGTATCAGGCTTTTCAAATTTTTGGTCATGACATACATTTGAATCTACTCCTCGGTTACCGAATATAAACTGAAAAATCAATGTTAAAATATATGAGATGACAACTCTACTGGCATTGGATGCTTTCTTTGATTTGTACCTGGGAATATATTCCCTCCTGACAAAAGAAAAAGATGAAGAAGTCTAAATACATTAAAAGGTGAGAAAAACTGTTAAAAAAATACACGGTTATTCAAACAACATGGATTGCATGCACTCACTACTTATATATTTGCATGCATTACCAAGCATTTAGAAATAGAAGCAACAAAGCAACATAAAATTGTTGAATCCAAAACTCCAGATTCCTAAACTCGGTAGCTGTCCGTGAATGGCTCCAAAAAAAGTTTTTGAAGCTGCCGTCGCACAAAGCAGGGTTTTTTACTCTGGGGAATGGACTAGGGAAATTGAAGGAGTGTTCGTGGAGGAGTTGGTTGACCAAGCAAAAGCGGGACATTTCAAGGCTGGGCGTCCAAACCATCACGCATTACTATGTGCACAAGGACTCGTCAACGCACAATTTGGTAAGAGCTTTGATTTGGAATATTGCAAAGGAAAGCTACAAAAACTACGTAGACGCTATGAAGTTTTCACCTGGATAACACAACAAAGCGGGGTTGTGTTCACATATGGAACCAATAAGGTTGAGGCCAGCGAAAAAACTTGGGAGTATCTTATTCGAGTAAGTTATTTTGAATTCTTTACGTAAACATAGGTTGTTCATGGTTCGAAACACAAAAATGTACAAATTTATTAATACCATAGATTATGTTAAAAGAATGCAACTAGGGATGAAAGTCGAATAAATAAAGGTAATTCAGTTTATAATTAAGAAATACAAAACACAATAGAGGATGTTGACAAATGCAATTGTTAATTATGGTAAAGAAGAGAAAGATGCTCAGGAGTACGAGAGTACATGATGCAATTAACTTGAAAAGTAGAGAAATTTAACATGACTCGATAGAAAGTAGATTTGAATTCAAAAATAGAAATATAAAGATTCAAAATGCTATGTTCATCTTTGACCCTCTGTACCAGATTGGAATCCTGTATTGATAATGTTGTTTTGCTGAATATTGTAGAAACAAAAGCTGGCCATGGCTTACATGGAGGAGGGTGAGTCCGCTCTCGAAGGGCTGGATTATTTGTTTGGAAATGCTAACATGAACGCTCGTGTCCCTAAACAAGTGATTAATATTTCTGACGAAGAAGATGAAGGAGACAATGACGATGACGACGAAGCCGGTAATCCCTATCTGCCTACTGAAAACGAGTCAGACAATACAAATAATTGTTTTCACTATGAACTTGCATGGTACAATACTGACTCCACTAGTGTTTCGTCTGTTGCGGACCCGGAAAAACCACCCACCAACCTGGCTTCCACGTCTGATGTTTTGAAGAAGTTCAACAACCATTGGGCGTCCCACGATTGGGACAACAACAATGACAATGATATTCCAAACAGTTCTACTGCATCTTCGTCGTCTCCTTACAAAAAATAGGAGATGACAATGAACAAAAAAATGGCTCCGTCTTTAGGCTTCTTTCATGCAGCGTTTTATTTTTATTTACCGTGTATGGCAAATAAGCTACCATGGCCAACGGTTCACGCCTTTCCAGAATTCGAAAGATGGTAGGAGTTTTAAATTTCATGTATCATGTATGACTAATAATCTACCATGGCCAACGGTTCACGACATGTTGGAATTCGAAGGATGGTAGGAGTTCATTTGAGTAACAGTTTATGAGTTTTTATTGTTGTTTATCTGATAGGACTATATTTGTCTTTTTTTTATGAATATTTTTCGCACATTTGATTTGACAGAGATACACGAACACAACCTATTAATGCCTACATTACACGATGAAATGACAGTAACCATCAATTAAATTGCATAATGACAATGTTTGGGGTGCGGTCATTTTTTTCTATGTTAGGAATCGTGAGGAAGAATTTGGTGAGACAATGTGTTTGCATGTGAAGAGATGATTGTTCACAGAAGAATAGGCCTCAGAATAAATTTTGCCAATGGCCTGTGACTTCACGTATGAAGAAAAATAATTGAGATCACCAAGATAAAACAATGTTTGTGGAAACACTATCAGTTTTTTTTGTACACTTTCACAAGGTCACGGCAAAGCAAAGCCACTACCCCAAATAAGTTGAACAACAGTATGTATATCATGCAAATTAATCTGATACTGTCGGCCTCCTTTGGGATTGGAGTCGTTTAGGACTCAATGTGTGTACAATGTTTGTGCCTGAAGAAGTTTATAATTGAAATGGGGAGCAAACCTAAAATCCTAACAACAGGGTGTTAGCAACCGAACACCCTTTCTCAGTTGCAAAATAAGAACATGGCCCAAATAATACATCCACATGGATATGCAGTAGAAGAAAAGGATGAAAACACAAAATTCACAACTAATTCAATCTGAATCAATTCAAGCACAAGTAATTCAATTGCCCAAATCTCAATCAATTCAACCACAACTAATTATGTGCCCCAAATATGAATAAATTCAAGCATCAAAAGGGGAACGAAAAATAAAAGCATGTCAATGCTGTTAAAAATGTACCTTTATAACCGGCTTCCACTCAACAGCCCAAAGTGTTGCCGTCGTCTTAGGCCGTCCAATTCCTGCCGGCGTCGTCCTCCTCTGTTGGACTCAACTTCTGGTCGTCTTACTCGTCACGGAGTCGGTCAATGTCAAGAGCTCCAGAGATTGGTGCAATGTTTGAACAGAAAGAAGAAACCCTAATGATGGCAGATCCCGATCGTGGTGGCGTCAAAATGAAGAATTTGGGAGGGTAAAATTGTAATGTCATTTTACACAAAGCTTTTGTATCAGTGATGGTAAATAGATGATTGAGTTTGTTGAAGATACTATCATGTTTAGTAAATATGGGATAAAATCTGATGTGGCAAAATGTGGGGATTAAATTTGTCAATCTCATCCTCTCTAGTAAATGAGGCCTTACATGATCACCCTAACAATATTATTTTACAGTTGTGTATTTTTTTATCTTTTTTTCTATTTCGAATATTGAACAGAGAATTAAAATCATCAAATTTTCTTGTTTTATAAAGTCAACATCAGAGCCACCTTGGTACTTGCAACTCACGTTATTACATAATTAATACTATTTGAAACAAACTCTATTCAGCGAGTTTCTGACCAGTTCTCGAGAGTGATTAATACTTGCACTGAATTGCTCCATAAAAGCCTTTTAATAATGGATTAATTTAAAGTTAAACATCTTTGTTCTGTCAGATTCAGTTCTCTACCCAATCCAAGCCACAATCTTTTTTTTCAACACATACTATTGTCAAAGTATTTTTGCCTCCGAAGAAAGAACACAAAATGGCAGCGGCTTACGCAGCTCTACTTTCTCTCAGGCATACTATCGAACACCTCCAAAACCATCCTCGCCCTCCGATTTCTCTTGATGAAACACAAACTAAACTTCTCACTGAATATATCACTTTCTTGCTCGATTTTCTCGAAAATTATTCGTTTGTCGACAGCCAAAAAGCAGATTCATTGGAGGTACGCATGTCCGATGCAGCTTACGAGGCAGAGGATCTGATCGAATCCCATATTGCCGATCAAATTCAGGCTCATGCTGAAAATCTCTCTACCGATGTTGACTTTTTGTATGAAGGTCTACATAAAGCGACAGAGGAATTGGAAGCCATTAAGAATGAGATTCAAAAGCAGAATTTGGGAGTAAGAAAGAATTTATCGCCTGCGGCTGCTGATGGTATTAGTTCATTAAGAAGATCTCCTTCGTCACCAGGTAATTACACCATGGTGGGATGTGATGATGTCATGATTGACGTCATGGACAAACTCACATATGGACAACGCAGTCTCCAAATAATCCCGATTGTAGGCATGGGAGGCATCGGTAAGACAACTCTGGCTAAAAACATATATATGAATCCAGTAATTGTTGAATACTTTCATTTACGCGGGTGGGCTGTGATTTCCCAAAACTATAATTTGAGAGAGATTCTTTTAGAAGTGTTGCTGTGTCTGAATATCATTGAGAACAGGGAAGACTCGAGCCAAATGAGCGAATACGAATTAGGAGATAAATTGCACAGAACATTATTTGGCACAACGTATTTTGTTGTGATGGATGACATGTGGAGCATCGAGGCATGGTACAAGGTGAAGTCCTTCTTCCCAGATAATAACAAAAGGAGCAGAATAGTTGTGACCACTAGGCTTTCAAGCTTAGCTTCTCAGTTGAGCGGTTTTTACGGTTTGGAGATGAGTTTTCTAAACGATCACAACAGTTGGAGACTATTCCAAAACAGTGCTTTTGGGGAAGACGGTTTTTGCCCTCCCCAACTTGAAAAAACCGGAAAGAGAATCGTGAAATCGTGCAAAGGGCTTCCATTATCGATTACCGTGATTGGAGGGCTTCTGTCGAAGCACACACAATCGCTCGATTATTGGGAATATGTATTGGAAAATTTCAATGCTGTCTTGAATACAGAGGATGACGAGCGTTGTTTGAAAATACTACGCCTGAGTTATATGGAGTTGCCTGTACACCTAAAGCCTTGTTTTCTTTATATGGGACTTTTTCGGGAAGACAGTGTTATTCCTACGTCAAGGCTCGTCAAATTATGGGTTGCGGAAGGATTTCTCAAACCGATTAGTGGGAAAAGTTTGGAGATGGTAGCAGAAGATTACATAGGGGAACTTGTGAACCGAAACCTGATCTTAGTCGACGAATTTGGGTCAACGGGCAATATGAAATCTTTCAAAATCCACGATCTTTTGAGGGAACTGTGCGTAAAAGAAGGTTTGAAAAACAAGTTTATGTGTGTGAGAAGGGCAGATGACCCCAAGATTCAACAAGACATAAAAAACAAACGACGTATCGGTTTTCATCCGACTAAGAGTGGCGATCTCGAAATTGGTTCGAAAATCGGCCCCTTTCAATCTTCGTCACTCGGTTCTTTCATATGGGATTGTGGGAGCGAGTCTATTAGTTTACCACAGCTTAAATTTAAATTACTTAGGGTGCTAATGGTGCTTAAGTTTCCCGATCCTTACATTCTTCGAAAGAGTGAGACTATATCGTGGCCTACCAACTCACGGCTTCTTGATTTTCCGTTTTCTAACTCTCCAACGACCCCATTTCCAGCTAACTGCCTCTGGAATCTGCAGACATTAGCAATAAAAGGGCTGCAGCATTATCAACAAATCGAGTTTTGGAAAATGCCTCAACTCAGGCACGTCAAATGTCAAAGTCTTTATCTCCCGGACCCAAAGGAAGAGAGTGATTCTTTAATAGTCCTTCACAACCTTCAGACACTGAAGACAGTATGGAATTTCAAGTGCAGTGAGGAAGTGATTAAGAGAATACCCAATATCAAGAAATTGGCAATAAAGTACGAGGGACTCTCAGTGAGTTTTGCGCCAGAAGATTACTGTCTGAACAATCTATGCCAGCTGGAGAAACTCGAAACCCTTAGTTGTATCAACTATGGTGTGGCGAAATTGGGTCAGAGCCTCGTTTTTCCAAATTCGCTTAAGAAGTTGACTTTGTTCGGACGTGAGATCAGCTGGAAAGACGTTGGGACAAAGATAGGGCGTTTGCCGAATCTTCTAGTGCTTAAACTGTGGGATTGTCAGTTAGGACCTAAGTGGGTAACTGTTGAGAGTCAATTCAGGAGGCTCAAATACTTGTCGATTTCAAACTGTAATGATCTGATAAGCTGGGAGGTGGAAAGAACGCATTTTCCGTGCCTCGAGCGAATTTATCTTGATGGGTTAGAGAAATTGGAGATTCCTCGGGAGATTGGAGATATACCGACGCTTAAGTCGATCGAGGTGGATTGTTGTAGCAACTGTGTTTTAGCTTCTGCACAGAGAATATTGAGAGAACAAAGGGAGCTTGGGAATGAAGGGCTTCGACTTAGACGTGTATTCCTTGGCCTTTGGTTTTGATTAATTGTCATTCTCTTGTACTCTTCATTGTGTTGGTATTTCACATTTGTACCTTACTGTGCAACAATATATTCTAAAAAAAATTTGTCTTACAATATTCTGTATAGTTTGTTTTTTTGGTTTCTCTAACAAGTTATTCAAATGTACTCTCTGGCAAATTTCTCAACCAATATAGTTAACATCAGGTTTGAGAAAGAAGCAGTGAAAGTATAGTCCTATTTTTATTTTATTTTTATTTTTATTTTTTTTCATTTCTTAGCTATTATTTAGCATTACAAATATCTATATGCATATAGTGAATGTTTCTTTATGATCTTCCGCAGAACATATTATTATAGTTCAATATATCTTATATTTAATTTATTCATATCGCGCTTATAAGTATACACTCAAATACATATCGACTATGAAAAGACATTCAGATTACTAATTCTTTTGTCTTTCCACCTTGAGCAACTTTTTCTTACATCAACAATTTTCAGACGAAGGATCTGAGATAAGGCTTGTTCTATCATTTATTTGTTCCTCATTCTCTTCCAAAGCCATCACGTTTCTAAAAGAAACAAAAAAGAGATTTAAGATTTTCTTGGTACTTTTGAATATGAGAATTCAAGCTGACACATTCGGCTAGTCTTTTATGCCGGTTCATGTGGAGTTTTCTATAGAATCAAATATGATTTAGTCTCGTAACGTATTCTCGATCTAATTTTCTTTACTTTTTTAATTGAATAGTTTTTTGTGTTGTGAAACATTTTGATTTGGTTTGATCATCTAAGTTAAAGTTACGTGATGACTATTGCTAGAATTAGAGTTGTAATCCGTACGTGTTACAATTCAGTTGTAATCATTGCTAGAATTAGAGTTGTAATCCGTACGTGTTACAATTCAGTTGTAATTGATTGCATGCGTAACCCATAATCAAGTTCTCTTATGCCAAACTTGTAATTTTTTACATCTTTCCCTCTATAAAAGTATTCACGAATTAACTTGTGAAGTCTTCGCAAAATACGACTCCTAAGCAAAATCCTGCTATTTTTAGATTTCATAAGAATATTTATAACGACGACTCAAGACTACGACTACAAACAAGTCGAGTAGGGCCGAGCATGAACCTTATTGCGCGTAGTTCGATTTTTTTTTCATTGCTCGAGCTCGAGCTTGACGAGCCATGAAAACATCGCTCGAGCTCGACTCGTGAAAAAAATGGTGATATGGGAGGTTATACCCAAAGGAATAAACCGGCCGAATGAGCTAGTCTAACGAACCAATCGAGCGAACTAGCCGAAACGTTATGGTCGAGCAGATACGAAAAGGATTATCGTGGTCGAACATCACGAGAACAAGAGTCTATGGATAGGAAGATAGCTCGAAGAGGGATTCCGGTGCTGGGAGAACAGGTCAATCCCAGACCCATGGAGGGTCTGGTCGTTCGATAGACACTTACTAGACTTGGAGCAATCCGCGGAGTGACCTAGGCATGTTCGAACGCTAGAGCCTTCGAGGAGATCTCAGAGGAAGCAAACCCCCATGTGCAGAGGACACGTGGCATGACATGATTGGCTCATACGGAATAACCGTTTTTGACACACCTCCAACATGTGTTGTACTACCGGGCAGGCCGGGCAACTCTAGGGTAGCCAATTCAGCTAATCTGGGCAGCTTGTAGAACAAGTAACTCACCCCTATATATAGGGGTGAGCTTTACGATTTTGAGCACGATTTCCATTTTACTCTTTGAGATCTGAGTTTTGGAGTGATATTGACTTAAGCATCAGAGGCTATTCACCGGAAAACCCCTCCGGTGTAAGAGTTTTTGCAGGTACTCGACGTTCTACCGACGGGAAGAATTTCGAGCAGACTGTTTTCAGCCGGTTAGGAGGTTTTGACATACCAAATGGAAATGCTCGAGATCGACTCGATGCGTGAGATTGGTTCGATGCTCGAGATCGACTCGAGTTTGGCTCGAATTTTAACAACAATAAATTATGCACCTTTGACTTTGTAAATCACATATATAGATATCTAATGGGTATTTAAGTATTTTATTGCATGTCAAGCTGCTCTACCTTTGAAAATTTGGGCTCGAGATCGACTCGATATCATACTCGAGCCGCTCGATCTCAAGTTCGGTCAAATTCGAGCTCGACTTGTTTCCAACTTTACTCAAGACTAACTAGATAAATACAAACTATAAATGATAATTGGGATAACGATAGTGATTTTAATCGCATTCGTCTATCCGGAACAGCTCCCCTACCCACGGTGGGCAAAATATTAGGGCTTGATTGTTTATGAAATAATTTGTTCAAAATGAGTTATTTTGGTTAATCATAGTTAAATTTGAAAAAGACGGTATAGTTAGTTGTTAGTGGAATTTTAAGAATGTATTAAAATAATATTTAAAATAAAATAATTAAAATTGATTTGATGTGAAGTAGGAGATAAATGATTGAAAATGACAGACAGTTAAAATTATGTGAGTGGATGAATATTAAATTAAAGTTGATGTGATATGTAAGAATGATTGATTTGTATTATTTAATTATATAAATAATATTAAAGATAGTGGAGTTGAGTTAAAGTTGAGTTAGATTTTGAATATTAAATGAATGTGAGTAAATTATTTCATAAACAATCAAACCTGTAATGAACAGAGATGATTTTCTGATTTCTTAGTTTGAGAAGATGAAGAAATTGCAGAAGGGAGGCAGAAAGGTAGAACACGTGAAAGGGGAGGAGAGAGAGAATATTTGAGAGAGAAATGAGAGAGAGTGAAAGTTGTTAATTCATTCCATAATGCAAATCATCTTTCCTACATGTCTTTTATATTCATTCACATGTCACTCACACAACTCACCACTTAATTCACATGATGGGCTACCTCTCTTATCTTATTATTCTCTTATCTATAAAAAGGAGGTCCTACCTTCAAATTCTGACACGTGTCCCTCTTCTTCCTATGAAGCCACGTTGCCCTCTTAGAAACGACGCCGTTTTGTGCCTGTTATTTCTCTATGCGTGCTCAACTCATTTGACAAAATTTTCAGCCCAATTTTTTTAGCCATCGAATCTGAATCTGCGATTCTTTCCTTTTATGCAAACCTCTTCATTTTTTTCTTTTTAATTTTCCGTTCCGCCGATTTTTTAAGCCTCCAAATCTCAATCTCCCGGCCTTATTTCCTACGGAAGTCTNACTACAGGCCGCACACGAGGAATGATGAAGTGACAAGAACTTGGTGTACAAAAGAGATGTGACCAAGGGCCTGCTCATCCGGAAGGTGGAGGCTGAGGTGGCTACAATCCTATTTGCTGTGAGTTTTTGAGTTTAGCAAAGCGATTCTTGAATCTTTTTTAAGCCGATTTCAGGCATCTGTGTTGCATGTTTGGACTGAGGTTTTAGTTTTTTTCCGTCTGCTGTAAAAGAAATAGCATTGTTCGATTAAACAAATCATTTACTTTTAGTGATTTAGGTAGAATTTTGATGGTGCACTGTCATGCTAAGGATATGCTTATAAGTGTGTCTCTTGGCTTTTCATTCATATCAGTGTTTTTTATTTTTAAGTATTTTTATGGATATCATATGCATTTTCTGATGGATTTTACAGGACGAGCACTATGTGACCAAGATGAATTTCTCCTGGCCTCAAGTACCGTGCATATCCGGGTTTCCTGCACGGGGGAGCAGGAGTGTTTTTTCTGAGCTATAAAGATGGTGTTGGCCAGGCAAGCATATACTTGAATACATTAATGTCCTTTGTTATTTTCTTGTGTTTTTTCAGAGAAACGTGCAATTTTGTGATAGGAGATGGATATATTAAGGGTGGGAATTGGAGAACAGATAAACATTCCTCTAAATACGAGGTTTATTTGGAGTACAGAAAATAATAGGTCCTACATTTACCGAAAACGCATTTTTTGAGATGATTATAGTTGTTTTAGATGGAGAAACAGTTCACTTAATGGCCCTTTTTAGTTTTAACTTGGAAACATCAAAACTGGTTTTGAAATTTAAGGGACAGTATGCTTATGAAGATCATCATGGAAATATAGCTGTAGAGTTTTTCTAATTTCTCTGTCTTAAGTTTTTTTTTTTTTATTATGCTTAGGCTTCTGGCACTCTTCTGTTGTGTCGAAACTATACTTCAACTTGATCTGGTAATGTAACAAGACGAGTTGCTTTTGGCTAGCTGATATAGCAATATCCATAATGAATCTTGCAGCACCACCTGGAACGTAATTCTTCAACTATCTTAAAACTGGGGTTTATGCTTCTTTTGCACATGCAGAAATTTGCTCACGGTTCTCGATCAACCACGATTCAGAAGCATTCATGGCTCTCGTGAAGGTATATACATTACTCAAGACAATCTTGGCTACAAATTTTATGCGTTTGTTGTATCACAAACTTCGTAGAGATTTATTGTTTTCTTAAAAATGTGACCTCAGGAAGTCATGGAAAGCCAAAAAATTGAGCTTCCTGCGGGCCCTGTATTTAAATCCAATATGTCATCCAAACATGAGGTCACATCTTCTAACGAACCTGCACACAGGTAAGCAATCCTGGCATTTAAAAAAGATGATAAAACAATGAAAACCTCTATAACGAATCCTGTGTCATTTATTTTAGCATTAATTTTATAATAATCACATTATCATTTAACATCAAATTTCTTTTGGGAAATCTGAAAACTTTCCAATGTACCATTTTTCACTGGAAAAGGTAAAAGGTACTAGGTACTGAGGATGGAGACCAGGAATAAAACAAATTTACCTGAATGGTGGTGGTGTTCTTTCCCCTTATAATGTTAAGAATTGAAAGTGTCGTCTACGTCTTAAATTCACTCATGTCCTATTTGTTTGGATTATTGCAATGTTCATTGAATGCTCATAGTTATCAACAACCATAATTCAACAAATATCTTCATCTATGACATTAAAACATATTGTATGAGGTTATGACTATCATTTTCTTTTACATAATGAAACTTCAACTGTAACATTAAAACATGTTAATATAAATACGTATTACTTAACATTATATTTATTTAATATAGTGCTTTTGAGAAATGCCAAAAACTAAACTACATTAAAACTATAAACACAATTAAAATCTTTTTTGGGTCTGTGGTCAGATCAACTTTGTTAGCGACAAGAAATCCTTGTGGTCAGGTGCTTGTAGGAATTGCCGAAAAAAAACTATAACATACACCCAAACACAACAATGAGGTGTCACAGTTTCCAGGAAGATTCCTCCTTGAAGCAAGGTAAAAGTAACGAAACGTAACATTAAATGTTTGGTTATGAGGAAAACTCCCATAAAATGAAGATTGTTTGACACATCTTTTAAAAATCAGATGCAGGCTAACCATTACAGTCCATGAAACTGGCAATAAGAATGCACTGATTTATGGTTTTGATGCTGAGAAGATAATATCTTTAAACGGAATTCAGTTATATGAAGCAGGTCAGTAAAAATTAAAGTTTTATATGATCTTTTATAATTATTTTAACCAAACGTATTTCTATTCCAGTTCACAATAAAGTAATTGATCTCCGCTTGCCACAACCATTCATATTGCAAACTCATTCAAGAAACACAATGTTACTTGTTTCATCAAGCACTATCAATCAGATTACCAGACTGTCTTAAAGCTCTACTAAGACAACGACATCACTGCCTTCAAAAATGCAACTCGATCCAAGTCTGTTGAAAAAGAAAAAGCTCCGTCAGTGTCAACAAAGGTAGTTCAGTCAATAAAACAAGATGAGTTGTATGTTAAAACAATTCTTCTTATATATCAACATCTATCACTCAATCTATTTAATATGGCAGGTTGTGGAAAAACAGTTTTTTTAGCCCACAACAAAAGACAAGGCATTCTACAGCCAATTGCAAGTGAAATTGGAAAGAACATCAACCCAGGGGCTTCCGCCTCAGCAGCCAAAAAAAACTCAGCTTTGAAAGCGAGGCAAGCACCGCACCAACATCCAAAACCACCTTGGAAAAATTTGAACCGAAGTTCTCAGAAAAAGAATCGCCCCGCAGCAGACCTACACTGATGCACCCTTACATGTTATGCCTACCACTTTTGAATGAACAAGATTGTTATAAATTACTTTTGGATTCACAGGCCTGCTATGTATAAGCTTAGCCATTTATATTTTGTTTATTTGTTGTACCAAATTTCAAGCATCTATATATAGATGTTTCAAAATTCTATGTGCAAAACATTACCCATGCCAAATCACGCAGGTCACTCATCTTTTTACTATCTTTTGCAATTAGCAATGATAAACTTAAAAATCTTTAGACTTAAAAATCTTTAGACGAGCTTGTGGCTTGTGACTGATAATATTACTATTGTAATTAGTACTAGCAAACTTGAAGCATGTTTGGAATTACTTTAATTCCAACTAAAGAAAAATGAAGAAAATATATTTGTGTTTGTATAAATTTGGTCTTCCACATATATTGGAGCCAAATATTAACCAATCATAACCGCATTTATGCAAAAATTGAATTAGGTCAAAATTGGGCCGGCTGTGCTGTGCACAGCGAGAGTTTTCTAGTCTATATATAAAGGAGTTAGGCCTTCTATATGAGTGACACATGTCCCTTTTTGTGGTCTTTAAAAATTGACAAGTGTCCCTTTTTTTACAGTTTTTACAGTTTTGCCACTGCACTTTAAAAATCAATCTTCGTCCATTTTCGCGTGTTTTTACGACTACTGCCACCGTTTTGACTGTGAAACATCATAATCGAAAGAAGATTTTGTGCCCCGAAAATCTGGTGTGGTGTCTTCAGCAGAATTTCTGCACACGCAATCGATTTTCTTTCGTATCAGTTCTTCTCTTATCCCAACTCACATATCCCAATTAATAATGACCAGAAAAAATTGTTTGCCCTCCTTCTCCATCCACGCCTCCTCTTCCTCCGACGTCGATTCGTCGTCTCCGCCGCCCCTCAGAAATCAATCTTCGTCGCCGCCGACCTTTGCCCGCCGATGAGCTCTTCTGCAAGGGCCAGATCCTCCCCTTCCACCTGTCTCTCCATGGTCTGCGCCCTCCTCCCGCTCCAACTGAGGTGTTAATTTCTCAAACCCTACCCAAACATAATTTTCTCCATTTCGCCGTTGCCGCCGCACTTTCAATTGAGTCAAACCCTTTTTCATCTTCTCTTTAACTTATTTCTTCTCTTGACTGACAGACCCAATTCAGTGACAGCGGCTAAGATCAGCGGACCGCGCTCATGACCGGCGATAGCCGAAGGTTTCGGGCGGGTGGTGTTTGGCGTTGGAGCACGACGGAGATCAGCGATGGCACGACGACCGAGAGATGCGTGACTGTGAGTCCCATTGTTAACTTTTCTTAAGTACAATTTTCAATTTTTTTCGTTATTTAGGTATGCGTATTTTTTTTTCTTTGAGCTGTTCTTATGAGCTTAATAGTGCCAATTGTAATATTTTTTTATATTACTGAACAAATGTAGCTCATGAAACTAGATAACTTCCTAAGGATTCTGAATTTTGTTTGTTAATACACAATGTAGAGGGATATCTATGGCTAAGTTTAATTGTGAAAATGCACTCATTTGCCTTTTTATTGCTGAGTACAGTGATGTTTCCGCCCATCGACTATCTTTGTCCGAACCAAAGCCATATATCAACAGGTAAAATGAACTATATAAAGTATAGACTTAGACTTTCACATATTCAGTTTCAAGTTGACTAGAGTTATTTCCATGGTATCCTTTTAAATATTTCGATACTGCATTAGTCTTGCTCTTCACCTCTAAATAAGATGTAAGTATATAAACAAAAAAATAGGTAAAGCGTATAAAAGACTTGAGAGGCCAACTGAAAATGAACTTTTCGATTTTCATGGTAAGGTTGATTTTTTTTATTTTGTTTTTCCGCCTCTTAATTGACGTCGCATGCCAGGTCCCCCACCGACACACCAATCTCCTCATCGGGTGGATGGCAGGGAGGAGGAGGCTTACGGGAGGGCGTTTGTGGCAATAAACTGACGGTGGATGAACTAATCAATATCCTCCAGATACAATGTGGTGAGAAATTATTGCCTGAATGTTCAAAGCTCACAACCCTATTCTTAATTTCTCTCTGTTCATCCTTTTCAGCAACCCCTAGCTATTGCCGCTCCGAGCCAAGAGCAGTGCGGCCACCTGAAGCGACTGGGCGACGATGAGGCGGTTGCGTACAGGTCGGCATTTGCTGTGATCCACAGATGGTGGTTGAACGAAGAACATTACTTGAGACTCTCGGTTAGAGTTGAACCATTTTACTTATCATCCTTTTATTGTGAATTATATTTTAAAACATGATTTTCAAATGATAACCTTTTTTCCAATTCGGTTTTACTTCCATATTTAGATTTCTAAAAATGAAGGCATTTCAAGTTTTTTAGTTTCACAAACAAGGAGAAGACCACTTATCGAGATTGCTTTCATGTACGCAAAAAGTTTGTGACTTAAACAACAACTGAATCGACGATGGTCAGAGCCGATAAGGAAGGTGTCGGAGCCGAGAAGAAAGATTGTGACAGAGAGGCTGCGGCAGCCTGACAGGTCACCAGTGAAGCTAGACGAGATTTTTAGGTGGAGCACGACTACCTTTAAAAGGTACAAATCAGATATCTGAAACCTAAAAACCTGATAACTTTTATCAATTGATTTTATGTTTTATTAAACAATCGGTCAACTATTTTTTACATTTGATAGAGTTGTCATGTTCTTTTTATTAAGCAATATGATTATTTTCCTCTGCTCATTTACTGCTTAATCATGCATATGCATATCTAATTCAGTACTTAAAAGTATATGATGACGTTAATGTCGAAATCAAACAAGAAGGTTAACTACTTTGTCTTCGATATTGGTTCAGCCGTTGTCTTCATGGATTGTTCTCATGGTTCAGGAAAAGATGGTGATATTAGAAGGTAAACTCATTTCTTTCATTTTGCTTTGTCAATCCCAAATTTGTTTTAATTACGTGTACCTGCAGCTGTTAAATTGAGAAAATCTTCTGTATTTATGTTTTGGACCCTTATAATCCTATTTGTTCAGTTACCATTATGAGCAACAACTTTTTACCGTGCTAGCAAAAATCGTTGTATTGTGGGAGATTTTTAAAACTATAACTTAAAAAATCAAAACAAAATGTGTTTATTTACAATCGAATGTCATATTTTTGTAGATATCTTTTGGTTGTAGCAACAGCTGCCAAGGCTTATGGTTTCTTGGATATCGAGTTCGGCACCGACATGTCTGTTATACCATGATAGAAAGTAACAGTGGAATAAACCTGAGGTATTGTTCATGATCAGTAGTGGTGATCTTCTGCATGTTATTTGTGTAGATGAATTTTGAGTTAGTCTGCTAGCATAATGTTTCTTTTCCAATTACCTTATATCATGAAGTTGTACCTATACTATCCATTCATTCATCTATTAGTTGGTGTCGATGTAATTTAAAATTTGTTGGACTTTGGTAGTAGTATTTCAAAATTTTCATATATTCAAATTCTTTTAACCATATGTTAATAAATGGAGAGCACATATCTGCAAGGAACCCACAATTCTGCCAGTGATTTCCTATTTTAAAGTACTATCGATTGTAATATTTAAGAGTTATTGGTTATTATCCATGCATTGTATAAAATATGTTACAATTTTTTTATTTTAATTTTTACATCTTATCTTTCTACATTTTAATTTCTACTTATCTAACTTTGATGTTGTGGCCAGCTGCTGAAGGCTTATGTTTGGCTTCAAACTTGTGATGGTTCAATCCAGTAAGTGAAGGGAGTGGTTGCCATGTTTTGTCCATTTATATGTCGAGAAATCCGATCTGGCGTGGCATCTTCTCAAACTTATCCAATTTCTCTTCCACCACGGGTTAATCCTCCTACATTGAGGCTGATCTTTTACTACTATCTGTTCCATCAAGTACCAGGAGCTCTAACAAGGTTATTAACGCCCTCTAAAAAGGTTATTAATCAATCCTGGAATTTAAGTTTATGTTCTTCCTCCATTTTCATTTTCTTTATTATTTTCATCTTGACTTGATTAGTGTACCCATAAATGATTATATTTTATATGAAGGATAAAAAATGACCGACACTTGATCTCACTTATACTATAATATAATGCAGGAGAGAAAGATATTCAATAAGAAATTTGTTCAGATGTGTACCAAACGGATTTGTGAGCTAACGTTGGCTGCTGATAGCCTACACTTGAGGACCCTTAGTGATCTCACGATTCGTACACTTGCAAGGGTTATTGAAGGGAAGTCCCCGATACGAGAGATATTTCATTTGGCTGATGATCTCGCAGAGTTTTTCTGTCATAATATGCTTTTTAAATGTGTAAATGCTCTTCTGTTTGTTGGAACGACTCCGGTATGATGTGATTTTGTACAGGCTTGGAGAAATGCGTGATTCTTGTCGCTTTATTGTGTAAAATTCCCGAGCTTTTTATAGCTTGATCCAGATTCTAGGGTTTCTCGGAAAATTATACGTGTTTTAGGAATAATGTACTGATTTGTATAGCCTAGCCTGGATCAGTAAATTTCATATTTTTTGAAATTACAATCTCATTTTTTTTAACGAATTTTGAGATTGAGAAGAGGTCACGTTTTTTAATTATATACTTTTTTATTGAGGAATGAAGGTTATGGTATTTGGGATGAATGAGAATAAGGTTTGTTATGGATGAGGATTTACTGATGAAAGTAGTGATGTAATTGCAAGAAACAAAAACCGTGTACATAGAGTTGGCGCTTGAGAAAAGCCAGGCTTTGAAATTCACAATTTGGATGTTTACCATCTTCTTAGTTAATTGGGCATGTTAGTTGGATGTTTGAATATAGATTTGCTACTTCTTCACTTCTCCTATTCGTAATAGGTCTCTTTTCGAGTCAGGTAAATATATGGATAAGGTTAGACACATTTTAAGCTGCCAATTTTTAGAATCAACAGAAAAGCAAATAATATTTCACAATTAGAGACTAAACTCGGGCCGCCTGTGCGTGCACAGGCGAGAGCCCAGTATATATATATATGCCTTTCTGTTTGTCCAATCTTATTTTTACTTTTTGAAAACTATTTGGTAGCATGTAGAAGCTCTCAACTTCAACAATATTCAACAATGTAGAACTGTGGAATCCAGTCCCTTATATGTCCTGGTTTCGTGCAATTACATTTTGATACCGCCTTTCGGTAGAAGTGCTCTCATGTAGGTTACCTTGTTTTACCTTCCTTCCCCGAATTTATTTCAATAATCAAACAAAAGAAGTGTATTTTTGGCACTCAATTGGTGTTAAAACTTATTCTGTAAACGTGGTTCTTCTTAATTGCTGGCTTTCTGTTGGTAAATTCAAATGCAGAAGTAGAAACTGATCCATATATACGGAATCCCCACCAAGCATGGGGACTCCTTTGTGTTCCATTATTCTGGTCACGGTTTGCTGCAAAGGCATTACAATGGAGATGAAGGAGATGGATATGATGAAACCTTGTGTCCGCTCGATTTCGAAACAAAGGGTATGATTGTGGATGATGAGATTAATGCATCTATTGTAAGAACTATACCCCATGGCGTCAAGCTTCATGCCATAATAGATGCCTTTGACCATGCTTCTTACAGGGGGCAGCATAAACATTGGTGGTCTTAGACAGGTAATTGATATTTTCATATTCTTCATAAAATCTGTTTGCAAGACTAAAATTGCATTACACACAGTGGTTCCCAGTACTCAAATTGCATTCATATTTTATCTATATTATTTATTCCATGACCTAACAAATATTATAATCAGCCAAGACTAAGAACCAATCATCAACCCTATCACATCATACACGCGACATTAAAAATTCGACCATACAAGTCCCCCAGATGGTGAGATGAGAGATAATCAATACATCAATATCACATAAAATGATCATGCCCGATAAATTTGTTCAGACATGACACTTTCCTTGTTTTTGGTATACAACGTTAACTTTCTGTACAAACAGTCCAAAGGGAAAATATCACTATCTCTAATCAACAGTTTCAGACAATTGATTAAAAGAGAAATAATCAAAACCTGCTTCTATGGGGTTCAGAATAACATCCCATCTGCATGTGAACAATGGTCTACCACAAGTTCTTGCTACTGAAGGAAAAAGAGTAATGATAAAGAAGAAGTCTCTTAAATCTTGTACCAGACATAAAATACTTCTAAAAATGCAGAACAGAAAACCCAGAGATCTTGAATTGCTCAGAGCATGGACTGGGAATCCCTTAAAAATGCAGAACAGAAAACCCATAGATCTTGAATTGCTCAGAGCATAGCATGGACTGGGAATCCCTTAAAAAAATTATTTCTTTAAACAGCTACAAGAAACCAAGAAAACAGATTAATTCTTCACTCAAACAGATACAAACAACTGCATCAATCGATGCCCTGAAACATACACAACTTCCAGAATTCCGGAAGGACAAGTAAGTGAATGAATATATCTGAAAATTATTTATGAGGATGCGAGTCCAAAAGTCTGAATCAGGTTTGTGTCCTTGGGCTGGTTAATGATCTTGTCAAACATGTCCTTTAGATTCTCATGATCAACCATCACCTCAAGAATCCTGTCCTCAATCCCGGCCACAGGAAGCTTGTTGCGGCGGTCCCCCTCGTTTGAGGACGATGTGAACACCAGCTCTGAGAGCCGCTCCTTCTCGGCCTGCCTGCAGTACTTGTCGGCCTCAGTTGTCCCAGAAGTCATCAAATGATAGGTGTACACAAACTTCTTCTGCCCAATCCTGTATGCGCGGCTTATTGCCTGAATCTCGACGGACGGGTTCCAGACGACGTCCAGCAGGATCACCCTCGAGGCCCCCACCAGACTTATCCCCTCCGAACAGCACCTTGTTGAAGCCAGCATTACCTTTGACTCGTTTTGCTCGTCGTTGAACAGGTTTATGAGTACCTGCCGATGTTTCTGGTCGAGCTTCCCTTGCATCTGCAAAATCTCTTTCCCCTCTGCCCACCTGAAGATTTCTTTCAGCTGATCCTTTATGAGCTCGAGCGGTTGGATGTACTGGCTGAATATTAGCACCTTCTCCTTCATGGCCATGCTGAGCCGAACAAACTCGAGGATGAATTTCGTCTTCACGCCCTCGTTCGGATTGAGCCGGGAAGCCTCGAGGTCGACCCCGATGATCCTTTCCTCTGAGACTGAGTGGTGGAAGAGATACGGGTGCACGGAAAGTAAAGCGGCTTTGTGCTCGAACTCGAAAGTGCTGGGTGTGCCCTCGAGCCGCTCGATTAGGCTTTTTTGCAGGGGTGGGGGTTTGAGGACGACGACACAGTCCCGTAGACCGGGCAGGCTCTGCTGGAGGATGGTGCCCTTGTGCACGTGAACAAAAGGTGCCATCGAGACTTTCAACCTCTGCACGGCATTGTCGTCGACCTTACACGTGGATTGAGGATATTTTCTTCTGGACACGTTCATCTGTTCTTCGAGGGAATCGGCCATTGCCGGACGAACTATGCGCAGAGTGTTGAAGAGCTCAGCAAAGTTGTTCTGAAAGGGGGTCCCGGAGAGAATGACCCGTTTCTGAGTGCGGAGCTTGAGGAGGACATTCCAGATGTTGCTCCTCTGGTTGCGGGGTGTGTGGCCCTCATCGAGGATCACGAGCCCAGGTTTCTTGAGGAGGATATTCCTCACGTCACCGTCGTTGCCAGCTGTCTGTTTCGTCAGCTTCTCGAACAAGCTGTAGCTGATGCCGAGGATACTCCCACCCCTGTTCCACGAGTAGAGGTTGACCATGCGGATCGTCTTTGTACTCCTGCGTTTGAGAAGCCCGAAGGTGGCCTTGCTCTCCTCGTCCAGCGCATCCACATTGAAGTTGAGGAAAGGGAACTCCACATTCCATTTCCGGAACTCTTCTTCCCAGGTGAGGAGCATGCTGGCTGGGGCGATTATCATGGGCCGGCAGTTTGGGAATAGCTTCATGTAGGTCTCGATGAAGACTATGGTGAGACGGGTTTTTCCGGTGCCCGGAGCATGAGAGATGATGCAGCCACCGACTTCACTGGGAGTTGTGCTGCTTTTCAGCTCCTTGAGGTGGATGCTTCCGGCTAGGTTTTTCCACAGGAACTCAAATCCTTCTTGCTGATGTTCGTACATCGTCTGTTGGACACCAGGTTTTAAGCTCCAGACAGTGCCGTTGGCTGCATTTCCGGGATTGGTCAAAGTGCCGTCTGAAGATTTGAAGCCAAGTTCATCATTATACCCAACAAGGTGTTCTGTGCTGTGAAACCTTTTCCTTGCAGATTCCCGGTCAGTTTTTTCTAGCTGTATAAGGCAAAATTTTAATGCAAACAACTATAAACTTTTAGTTATATGAAATAAATCATGGAGAAAATTGGAGAACATGTTGGGAAGCTAATAATAATAGGCTCACGATATTAATTAAGCTATGTTATGCACATGTTCCTTATTCACTGAGTTGATTTGCTGTTCTAACGCATTGTTTGAGATGGACTGGTGTACCGATTGCATACTCACCCACTCAGGCAATACATCTTTTGGGCCAAGCTCTACATGACGACAGTAAATGCATATCAAACCTTGGTCATCAATCAAGACCAACTCGTGGTTCCCTCTACTGCATCGTGCATGTTTAGTTTCATCAGCAGAAGACTTTCCTGTTTCCTCATCATCCTGCATGCCAGTGTTATATAAGTATCAGTCATATGGTTTCTCAACTCTGAATAAAGTTGTTCATTATTTGGTTAACTGTGGCTGGTATGGAGTAAGTAAAATATGTGCATTACTCACCTTGGGGAGGTCAAACAATCCCAATTCTTGCAACGACCAATGGAAGTCTAACTCCACAAACAGCTCGTCTATCTCATACTCTGTTTTCTCCACCTTTTCAAGATCCTCATCCTCAAATCTGAATTTCAAGGGGAGAGTGGTTCGAGCTGGTGTGTCTTTAACTTCATCATCACTATCCTTCTCCTCGGGCATTGATGCCCTTCCAAGTACAGAATCTGCAAGCATTCTGCACAGGCCATAATGTCCTGAATAAACTTGCTTCCTCTTTTTCGCCTCGACATCATCGGTCTTCCTGTGAACATCATCATCATTCTTTGGGGAAGGAGATAATGCATTCTTTTTCATCTCTCTCTTCTTTTCCACATGGCACATGTCAGATTTTTCTGGCCATGACTTAACACCGTCTGGAGTAAAGCTGCTACCAACTTTAGAATCATCATCCTTAAAATCACTTCTGGCCGATGATGATGATGATTCTGAATCTGGTGGAGATATTTCTACTGTCGATGCCTTTGTGGCAGTCCCCGTCATCCTTGACCGGGTTCGGCCTGCGATGCCTTCCTTAACAGTCTTGTCCACTGCACCGCATGAGCTGGTTTCATTGTCCGTAGAAACATCGTTGCTCGAGAAGGTGCTGGTAGATTGAGCCGGCGTGCTGCTGCTGATGCTAGCATTATCATCAATATTTCCCTTCAAACGCCCATTGTTCTTTGCCTTCCGGGCTGGGTGAGCAGAAGCACAAACACCCTTTTTTTCCTTATTCTTCTTATCATCAGTTTTGGGTATCCTTTTGCTTGAGCTGGTGGTGACTTTCTTGGCAGGATGCTGTCTGTTAAACGTCCCTATTTTCTTGAATTCTGGTTCGGGGATTTTCTGGACCTCCTTCTCCACTTCATCACTGTACCCTAAACAAAGACATGAGCATATCGTAATTGGAAAATGAAAAGTTGAGTTCAGTTAACAAATCATCTGATATCACTCATCACTTGATTCAAATATATATTTCTTTGCATATATCATCACCTGATTCTGAAAACGAGCTTGACGACTCGTCAGAATCACTGCTGTCGTCACCGCACGTAGACGATCCACACAAATCGTTCACGGTGACAATTTTTTTTGTTTCCTTCAGTGCTGACTTGGACAAGCACCTCGTCTTGTTTCTGCATTGCTCCACATCAATGTTCTTCTTGTGAGCAGAGAAAATGTTTTTGCTGAACGAGCCAGCAGGTCGGTCTCGGTCTGAGTCTCCACTCAAGTTTTTCTCTGTTGATGGCCTCGTCTTTGACTTACTATGTGCTTTCAGACGGCTCAATTCAGTTTCACTAATTTTCTCTATGCTTACTTCTTCCGAATCACTACCTTCGCTGTCACTTTCTGCAAAGATAATAAAATTCTCTACAATTTTTATGGAAATTTTCACCTTAATTTTATCAGTTTCTTCTTCTCCTTGAGCTTGCTTATGCATTTGACAACCTAGAAATCTCTTTTTTTTTTTCTTAGTTATGAAGGCTCCATTGCTTTTCATATTTCTTAGTTTCAGTAAAAATTGAAACGAGTAAGAACAGTAACAAATTAACAGATACTAGTTAGACAAATTTATATTTCCTGAAACATGTTAGTCAGAAATGAATGAGACATTGAGGAAACCTACTAATATAAGGTGTATTGTCATAGCAAGGATATCATAAGTTCCTCGAATGGTAGTGTTACCAATCACCACCACATGAAAAATCGAAGAAAATCAACCAAAAGAAGAAAAGGCAGAAAGAAATAATCACCAATCACAATTATGTTTCGTTTTGGTAATGAGGCTTGAAGAGAAGTGAAGAATCCACGAAAATGGGCAGGGGGTGTCCTCGTGCTTCCACTTCCCACCTTCTTCTTTGGATAAGGTGTGTTCAATTCTCCCCTTGCAGAATTACTTTTCTTTGGCCTGGCATGTCTTTCGATTTCAGCCTCTTCAGAATCCGTATTCTCAATGTCATTCCCTGTTGAGAGGATAAAAAATGTGAAAAGAAAATCTTCAATGATGAACCCACCCTTTACTTTGTTTAAGATGTCATATATCTGCAGGAAGGAAAATTTCAAATTCTTGGATGAAGTCATGAAGCATTACCACACCTAGACTAATGGACATGTTTAACTGTGTCATTGATTGGAATTTGTAAGATTCTTCAAGTAATAGCAGGCAGAAATAAAATGTGATTAGATAGTTAGTTAGTTACTTGTTTCCGCAGTGGAACTGGACTTGTGCCGCGACACTTGATTAGAATAAGGCCCGGCATTGCTCGGAGAAAAGGGCCCTGTTATGCTTTTGCTCACAGCAGCAGCAGCAAAGTTACTGGTATTGGGTGCAAAACGTCTATTCACACCCTCAGTTTTCTTACCTACACACACTTTTAAAATATGTATGAGAAACCAATCTGATTTAGTAGCTAAGCTAGATTTGTGGCTTTCTTTACTATGAATGGCCAAGAAGTTACTAGTTATAGTAAGAAGAGTAGTGAAGTTTTTTCTATTCATTTCCTTGAGCAATATGATTGAAATTTGTCCAAGTTGATACGAAGGAGAATCATTTATAAAGCATAATATGATACAATTGCCCAAGAATTTGTATATAAGGAGAAATGAAACTGAGTAAAGCATGCAAGCTCCAACAAGTAGATCAAAACCAAAATAAAATCACCTTTTCCAAATGAAACTCCTCGATGGCAGACATCTTCCGGAGAAGAGTATCTGTAAGCAGCAACAGAGTGCACGCTGTCAACAGCCTTCCGAGAAGTGACTGCAGAAGAACCTAACTTTTGCTTGTACAACTCGGTTACATTAACCTTCTCAATCACGAAATCATCACTATCCGAATCATCGCTGCCATTCCCTGCAAAGTGAGTTAGGAAGGTGAGAAACCTATTTCTAGAAATCATTTTTCAATACAAGTTTTAATTTAAGACATAATAAAAGTTGACCATTTCTGTGGCTACCAGCTCCTCCTCGTTTGGGTTTCGTCTGAGTTCCTCTGATCCTTTTTCTTGCGTTCTTACGGCTTGACGAGCCGATCTTCCTTTTCCGTGGACTGACCGAGCCACTTGATGGGGCCATCCCACGTGACTCGGCAACGCTCTTGACATACTCGTCCCATCTTGATCTCGTCCTCCCAGAAACACTCGACCAGAATGGCGTTATTACATCATTACTACTCTTCTTTGATTGGCTCTCACTCTGTGAGAAGAAAAATATGTATATATATACAACAAAAGCCAGCAAGTTTCTTGATGATAAAGCTGCTATAGTTTCAGTAACTTTTGAAAAAAAAAAAATGGGTGCTTTAATGAAAAATGCCTACAGACAGTTGAAATGCAGTAAGATTATCATTTGTAGGCCCTAGCATGCATTTTCAAGTTTGCAGAGAAAACAACATAGCAATATCCTTAAATCTTAATCATATATATGCTTTAAGCTTTATATATCAACTGATCAACTGGGGAAAGAAAATAAAATAAAAGCAGACAGTTCACAGATTGATGTTCATCATCATCATCATCATCATAATAATAATAATGAAGCCAAAAAAAAGATCAGAGCAGTGCATAAAGAAACTGTGACAGGGCACAGGTCGATGTTGTTCATCTCAGCATATCATGCTGATTTTCTAAAATTGATTGTGACAAGTTATGGGCTAAGGGTTGGTGTATATAGAAGTTCAAATGTAATTTTATTGAACAAAATTATTTTAGCAAAAAAAAAAAAGAAAAAAAATATATACTCACTTTCAAGATCTTAATTAATGAGCTAAATTTTTAGATTCACCTGTGAACCAGCTGAGGACAAACAATTCTTACAATTTGGACAGGAAAAAAAAATCTCACTATCTCAAAGTTTGCCACTCAAACTTAGAATTTAATTTTTTAAAAAAAAAAAAAAACTAAGAAAAGAATAGAAACAAACAACTTATTTATCTCTCACACGTAGACAAGGCTTTGTAATCTTACCATCTTTTTTAGGCTTTGCTGATCAGAAGAGAAACACACCTCTTTCTTCAACACCTCTATCAATTATGCAGAGAATAAAATTAATCAGTTAACGGGTATATCAGTAAACACACACAAGAAAGCCTACTCAAACTGGTGAATTTTACATATTTTGTTTCTAAATCCAAAATTGGAAGATATCACACAAGTGGTAAATATTGGTGAATGCCAGCCATGTGCAATAAAATTTTTGCCATCTCATTTTTCGTTGCTGACATCTATGAATGAGATTGACATTATTGTTTATTAAAACCTTAATCTAATTGCTTGGAAATCAATAGTATAACAATAATGATGTTGTTAGGCTATGATTTTTAATCAGACATACTTAACATATTAACATACTTTCATATTCAAATGTCATGGTTTATAAAATAATACAAATAAAAGTGTTTTGTTTCATCGTATAAGCATGTATTTTTGTTAAATAAAATAAATATGCTAACAACAAAATCTGTTATACAAATCTAGCTTTTACTTTTTAGTACATTTGGTAGAGGTTCATGTGATCCAGTTCTATTTGGTATTCCATTAAATTACAGAATCAAGGTTAATGCCATAAATAATTTTACTTAAATTCATAAAATTTAAACGGAATATCTGTTGCTGCCACCAAATGTGCCTCCAATTTTTAACCACATAATTTATTAAAGAAAAAATAAATTTTTTAGGCAAGCAAAATAAGGCTATCCCAATTGAACAATAATAATAATAATAATAATAAAAGGGAAAATGAAGGAATTGAACTCATGTTAATGACATGCACCTATGTTCTGAACAAAATAAAATCTCTGGGAGGATAAAATGAAAAAAGAAAGAAAACAAAAGAGCACAACCATAATCCAAACACAAAAACACACAAAAAAAAAAAAAAGATTTTGTTCTTGAGAGAGAGAGAAAAACAGAGTACCTTGTTTCTGGCCTGTGAATTAACTTCAACAATGAGACTTTGTTCTACAGCTGTGTAACAGTGCAATGTGTTACATTTGAATGAATAATGATAGAAAATTCAAGTGTTATTTCCAAAAAAAAAAAAGTAACTTGTAACAATTAATAGCTAAAAGCTATTAGAGAATACCAAACGTTTTAGTAATCATTACTACTAAAACTAATGGGCATAGCTGAACAAGCAAAAGTGCAAACAAAACATAACACCACAAAATAAAGTACTTTAACGTTGTAAAAGATAGTGCCTGTCAGATTGACTATATTGATCAGGAAGATATTGTTCAGAAAAAATAGAAGTTGAGGATAATTATATTTTGGTTGTGTAATAGCTTGGTTGTATCAGTTTTCACTAAAACGTATTACACTCTATATATTTTCAGTTTAGTTTGATCGATGAGCTTGCAATTTCTTTTTCCTTTCATGGATTTTCTCCCTTTTTGTAGGATTCCTTTTCAGTTTCCTTTTACGTGTTTTCTTGTTTAGTTTATGGTTTCCATTTTGATGTATTTTCTTCCAACAGAAATCAGGATGATATACAAGATTGTCTACCTCAGAATAAAAGAAAATCGAAATGTTTCTATTTTTAGGTGCAGATCATATTCATTGACTTGTTTCGGACCAGAAAATAGGAAAAAAAAAAAGAAAAAAAGATATTGCTAATATAGGGCCATGAATTCAAATTGAAGTCCAAAATTATGTATGTATCACAAATCAGAATTATGGATTTTATTCAAATAATATTTACTATATATATGTGTTACTCTTACCACAAATGATTTTACAATTTCGGAAAGTTATACATTGTAGGAAAATTTGAAAAAATACCATCAAAATATGGATATAACTCTAGTATGCTTATATTTCTCCCAATTAGCTCCAAAAATTTTGTTCAATTACAATAATTATCATTATAGAATTTTATAAATTATCATCATAGTAAAAAAGAATCGCGATCATGGGGCCATCTATGGTGCCCATATGGGTACCATAAGCCATGCCACAATATGATGTGTAATATGAGGTGGCTTTTTTGTTTTTAATTATCAATTCCATGGTGGCTTTTTCAAAGATTTAGCCAATTAAGACGATTAAAAAATTTCCAAAAATCAACCCAAATCAATCTGCAACTCACGACTGCACCCATCAGCATCACTTAATTCGCCACCGCTATGGCCACAATCACGCTGCTTTCGAGCTTTTTGCGGTGCTTTTCCGGTGAATAGGTGTGTAACAACAAATTTCGTGAATTGAATTTTTAAACACGAAAAATATTATTCAAATGAATTTCTCAAATCAAAATAAATATAGTGGGTTACAATCTTTAATTTCTAACAACAAATGAATATTAATTAAATGAATTTCTAACAACAAATGAATTTAGAGATATTCTCCTCTAATTTCGTTAATCCGAATGAATTTCTAACAACAAATGAATATTATTCAAATGAATTTCTAACAACAAATTCATCTGAATCAAATGAATCGTTAATCTCTAACAACAAATGAATATTATTAGTGAGAAGAATCAGAGGAGAATAATTTAGAAGATCAAGCCGAAGAATTCGCTCCAAGACTTAAAATTGTTGGAGCGAATTAGAGATTGTAACCCACTATATTTATTTTGATTCGAGAAATTCATTTGAATAATATTCTCCTCTAATTTCTCCAAGACTTAAAATTGTTGGAGTGAAATCTTCGGCTTGATCTTCTCCTTGACTTAATTTGACTTGAATTAACGTTAATCCAAGGGCCAACGCCTTCATTTCGGATCAAACGTCGAAATATCCCAAGAACGCGAAGAACACGAATCCTTGGTCTTCGTCGCAAAGTAGATATTGAATCTTCTCTACACCGGTTTTGATTTGCTTGTTTCCGGATTGAACGCCAGTAGGTTGAATGCGCTTGAATCTTGCTTCGAATCTTCAAGAACGCCTTTGAATCTTCAAGAACACTTGAATCTCGTCGAGAGAATTCTCTAGAACTCTTGAATTTGAATATGAATTATGAGGTGTGTTTTTTGCTTTAGGGAGAGCCCCAATTTATAGGTGTAGGAGGGAGAACCCTGCCAAATTTAAGAATCATAGGACGCGATTTGATTGGTCCATGATGATTCACATAAGATCTTCCAAGATCTTCTAGAAGACATGTGATTTATTACCAAGAATTGAGATTTGACACTTGACAATATTTGATTGGTCAAGAATTAAAATATTAAAATATCAATTAATTAACTATTTAAATTTAGAAATTAAATTTATGAAAATTTCTATAATATAAATAGAAAATATGACTTGATTTTTAATAAATTAATTTCCACGTGACGCCATTTGATTGGATACAAAATTTATGTATCTACAAGGTGGCTGTGGCGGTCTGTGATGGGGGGAGGGAGCTCGGGCTGGACGGTGATGGTTCTCAATCCGTACATCAAAATCAAGCAATCAGAGAGAAATTTGTAGAGGCGGGTAAGATTGGCAAGCAGCGGCGGGATGGGGCCGCGGAGGTTGTTGGTGGATAGTTCAAGGCGGAGGAGGCGGTGGAGGGCAGAGATTTCCGGCAAGATCAAGTTCTTCCTCGAGGATTCTCTCAACTTTGAATCCCTATCCCTTGTGTTTAACAGCTCCAGCCGTTTTGGGAGGCTCCAGAGCATTAAGTGTTGTGGCTGGCAAGATTCTCTATATCAGATTCTCTTGCAGTACTGGGGATGCCATGGTGAATTGGGATGAACATGGTCTCCAATGGCATTCAGAATCTGATGGATTTGGAAAATATGAATTGATTTTGGAAATTTTTTCAATTGTCTTAATTGATTAAATCTTTAAAAAAGCCACCATGGAATTGATAATTAAAAACAAAAAAGCCACCTCATATAACACATCATATTGTGGCATGGCTTATGGTACCCATATGGGCACCATAGAATTTCTGATCATTAACACGAACCAAAGATCTAAGATTTGGTTTTTGATGTGGAAAGCCAAAATAGAGAAAGAAAATTTAATTGTTCTAAATTTTGAAGCATAGTTTTCAAACCCGGCCCGGAAATCGACCCGGACAGATATCCGGCTCACCGTGTCTGCGGTTCAACCGCTGGGTCACCGGGTCAATTGCTGAACTGGATAATTACTACTAAAATTTTTAAAATTATACATATATTATTGTTGACATATAAATATACATAAAAGTAACAAAAATAAATATTTTGTATATAAAATTTTTACATCAAAGTGTTAAAAGAATTGTATCTCACAACAAATATTTACTATATCAATATATTTACATAGTTTTTATTTTTTATATAAAAAAAATATTAAAAATAAATAAAAAATATATAGGGACCGAGTCAATTGGGTTGACCCGTCTGGGTCAATGATCCGGGTCGACCGCGACCCGGGTCAAGGCCGGTTGCCCGGGTTTTGACCGAGTCCATTGTTACCCGGTCCAAATAGCCCACTCGGACCGGTTCCGGTTCCGGGACAGTCGGATCCCGGGTCGACCCGCCGGACCGGTCCTAGTTGAAAAATAATGTTTTGAAGAATAAAAAGTCAAAGATATTCTAACAATTGATAACATATTAGATTTATATATGGGGTACGAAGAGGAGGAGGAGAAAAATAATGAAAGGCGTATGACTTGAGAATGAAAATTTAGTTACAATTTACATTCGAAACTCATTTACATGAGTCTAAAGTAGCTAACGTTGTTACTTGTAAATGACAACTTTAGCTATAAAAGAGAATGAATAAAATAATAAAAATGAAATGATACAAAAATCTATATATATATATATATATATACTAGGAAGATCTCGCCGTGCATAGCACGGCCGGCCCACGTTAGTTGTTTTAGATACAACCTTGATACCTCCAATAATTTTGAAGTCATGCATAGGTAGAAGTTATCCTATAGACTCGAGCCAATTGCGTTAAAAGTACCTGTATAACAATAATCACAATTAAAAAGATGCCATATGAGATTTTTTAATCACTTAAAGCATTTATAAGTTGTTTTAAGAACATATTTTAAATAAAAGTGCCTTAGTTTTTTAAGTTACAAGTGACCTCAGGTTTATGATAGTCTATGATGTCTTTGAGAAGTCCAATGTAATATGTTCAGCTATTTTCTTGGTTGTTCCTTATGGATTTATCGGCAGTTAGATTTCTCGAGGAAAAAATTTAAACCAACAGTTGAAATAATGTTTCTTAAATTTTACTACAAATCACTCACTTGTTGACTTTTCCGTGATCGGCATTTGCGTAGCCACGTTTTGCCATTGCCTCTAAGGTAAAGTAGTAGTTTGAACAAAAGTTAACATAATATCTGCATGAAGTACATACAAACAACAAATACATTTAGAACATATAGGTAAAAATGAAAGGCGAATAAATTGTAGTTTGTGTGGCATATATTGTTGGGTTCGATAGTACCGTACGGGCTTTAAGCAGCGGAATTTAAAATTTTTCAAAGTAAGTATTTATCGTATAAATACAACACCCGTACATACTAATTGCGAATTAACTGATCGTCATCTTTAAAACATGCATCATATACAAATTTTGATTTGTTACTATAAAGTAAATACTAGTAAAAATATTTACCGAATATCTTGAACTCCTTCACTATTGTTGATGAATGAGGGAATCGGTTCCCGGTTGTAACTTCAACGACTTGAGGTTACTCGCTAGAGGAATCCAAGTGTCTTCCCTCTAAACGTATCCACCCTATGAAGCCCGGTTCCGACGACTTTCCTTCGCTAGTAGAAAAGACTCGGTTTTCTTGTATAGGAATATTTATGAATTTTATTTGGGAATTTTAAGAACTCTTTCTTGAAGTTTTATGAAGAACACTTTCTTCTCTTTCTAACACTTAGAAATTTAGGATCAAAAACTTCACTTAAATGCAAAACCATTTTGCATATATTTATACTAAACATTTTAGCATAAAATAATCAACATTTAGTAATATTAAATAAAATCAAATTTTATTTAAATAGTATTTACTAACTTTTGACTTTGAAAATAATAAGATATGTTAAGTAGTTCAAACAACCATCAACAACCATTTTATTATAATCATATTTATTATTTTAATCCTTAAATCATATTTAAAGATATAAATAATAATTGGATAATAAATCTTGAGAATCTTTCTCAAGACTTTATTATTATATCATTTTCCCAATATTATAATAATCATATTATTATTATTTTGGATTTTTGAAATTTAAAATCCTATTTTAAAATTCAACTTTATTAATTTAGTAATTACCTTAATTACTAAAGTAATATCCAAAATGTAATTAATCAATCTTATTGATTAATATATTCCTTTAATTGATATCTAATCAAATTAGATATTTATCAATTAATTCTAACCATTAGAAATACAATCTTTACCTTTGTTCATAATTAGTGTGACCTTTTAGGTTCACCTTAATACTAGTAGTGGGTTTACAACACTTTGTAATTTGAGTTAAATCTTATTAACTCTTATTCATGAATTAACCCTTTAATTTATGAACCCACATATCATGGTAACACCTAGCAAGTAGCATGAATCTAGTATTAAGTGAATAGCGAGTAAACCTATTCCGATTACAACTCCATACATGTAAAATCCTTTCGACATCTAATTTCCCGATTAAGTCTTGGGTATGATTTTGTCGAAACCCAAATTGACTTAATAACTATGATTCTATTTCATGTTTATTAACCCGGTTATGAATCACTATTCATCTCTGCCTTGGCCAAGGACTTTGGATTAATAACTATGAAACACATAGGAAATTCACTTATCTTCATAAGTGTCGAATCCTTTATTGGCCACTAACAAACTTCCATACATATCAACATAATACCCAACTTATCCCTTTAAACGATAGTGCTAGCTACCAAAAGGATAAATCAAAGTAGAATGTAATATGCACAAAGTTACCATTGTGCCTCAAGTCTTAGGATTAGTCATGTACTATTGTAACATGAAAATTCTTATTCGACTGAATAAATTCTTCATTAAGAATTTTCATACGGTCATGTTCAGTGAACTTGTTCTCTAACAAGCACCCACATAAATGTACTTACGTCTTACGCTAATGTTGATGGAATGCAACATTCTTGTCCAACAAGCATACAAACTATGTGCAAGTCTTTTATGGATTATTCGATATCCCATCTCGAAACATCCATCGACTTGGAACTGTATTTAAGATCACGGCTTTCAAGGTATGTTCCATGATCACCATCTCTATGCGCAACCATACCTTATAACCATAAGTGATCTAGGGATTTTATCTTAAGTGCAATAATAAGATAAATGCTTTCACTTAAGATAAAGAAATGCCTTATTCATAATATAATTCCAATAGACTGTATTTACAAGTAGAATACGTTCAATTAGATTGGAACGCCGGGTACCCTACTCTAACAACAGTAACAATGGAAATATAAAATTAAGTATTCCGAATGACTGGCTACTCTTTCTAGCATATTGTACATGTGCCCATGACACAAGGATATATGTATTGTCAATACACAAATAAATATATTTATTAAGTGAAAAAGTAAGCCGCGTACCCCATCTCCTAAAAGAGGATGGAAAGCATCACTAAATTCATTAATGTCTTCTTCACTGAGAATCTTAACCCATTAAGGACTTTTGGTTATTCCACTTCCGCAGTACGCTTTTGGGTTAACCCATTAATGACCTTTGTCTTCTTCAGTGGAAGGTTTAACGGTGATCTCCATTGCTGGATCATCTACAATGAAGTCCGGGTTGCATTCACATTCACATTCACAGTAATCAACTCTAAGGCTACCATATTGAATTGGCACTTGTTCAGGCAATATGTACCTATTTAACCAATAACGAGAAGTAAAATAAATGCAAGGTTGCTATAGAACAAAAAATGATTTTATGAAAATACCAATCAAATTACTCACTTGAAAAAGGTGTAGGGAGTCTTATTTGGGCCAGTGAACACAAATTAGCTCTTGGTCTGATGAGTAAGAAAAGGACACCTCATATTACAGAAAGCTAAGTACCACAATGGAACATTGACGAAAAACTGTAAGATGGAAAAGAGGTCACCTCTATTCTAAATCTAAAGCCAATAAATGTTAAAACAAATTTAAGCCAATTATGCTTAAAGGGAAAATAAAGCAAAAGTCCTCGAATCTTGCTCACCAAATACTCCTATATATGTTCAGTTGTTCACCATCTTCACTATTTCTGTTTCTGGCATACTAATCAGTACACAAACACATTTTCTATTTGTATCAAATGATTTTTACCAAAAACCCCTCAACTCAAATTTAATAGATATGCTATAAGAACACAAATAACAAAACTCTCATATTCCTACAAGTTTCCTTTTCCAGAGCATCTATAAAGGCAGAAAATAACATATGTTAACTCTGCATACAAATAATAGTTTTTATGATACAAACACATTGAAAAAATTATGATCAATACAACACCTTTATTGTCCTAAAATCCACCAATGCATCAAACATACACAGACGACAAATGCAAAATACAATCATATCATATATTCTACCTTCTTCAGTTCTTCACGAAAATCAGGATATTATCCTAAGAATTTGTTATGCCTGTTTAGTGGTGATTCATAATTCCTTTTTTCCTAGGCCTGGCGTATTCTTAAGATCACTGATCTAAGATGGTATTAATCCCACCCGGACTAAAGTCAAGTTTATTATACTCCTCTCCAAAAACTGAATCCTCCCCCTCAAAAACTTCGATCTTTTGTCCTCGTCTCCAAACATTCAAGCACACAATTCTTTGTTTTGAAACTCCCGTACACATTGTATCACATTGGGTACCCTTCTTCGTGTAACTATGAATGTATACACAAACAATATATAAGATTAGTTTTCTAGCTGAGAACAAATTAAAGTTCCAGGTAGGCCATCCTAATCATTTTTGTGCAACAAGCATTGTTGCAGTTAAATGAGTTAGCCAAGTTGCTCATGAAAAAAACATCCAATTGAATTAAAAATGGGAGTATCATGAACAAGGTATATGCAATTAGAAGGGATAACTGAATCGCGTACCCTTATTTGAATATGACCAGTGCCTCACCAGGATAAGCAACATTGTGAATCCAATAAGAAGGCAATAAAAAATGCCTCACCAATAATTTTAACCTTCAGCTAATGATTCTAGCCAAGATCAGTTTCCTTTTCCTGTGGGGTGCTGAAAGCGCTTCTCATGATTTGGGTTTAACGCCACAATGTACCTCAGTTTCTTCTATCAATCATGTGAGTTGTCTAGAAAAGAATTGGGGGCTATGCTGTGATTTATCTAAGCATAGCCATATAATAATAAAAAAAAAAAAAATCATACAGTCAGTAATTTGTCCACAAAAAGAAAAATAAAAGAGTCAAAATTGAAGACAAAAAACTCAAGAAAAGTAGATTTGCAAGAAAGTACCAGTTGTTTCCTCCAAAAACAAATCCCAACATAGTGAAGAGCTCCACCACAAACTGCTCTACGACCGCCAACGGTCGTATCAAATAAACCCTAGAGTTTGGCCCTTTTTCCGTCTCGAATTTTCTTGTTTTTTGGATGGGGAATTCAAAAGATTTTGTCTACTGGGAGAGTTGGAGCTAGGGTTTTGCAAAAAAATATGAGCAACAGACACTTTGAGAATTGAAGAACCAAGACCGAAAATTCTCGACATAATCATAATGAAAGAAACCTAGGATCGGTGCCAAAAGTTTTAAGAAGAAGAGGAAAAAATCGACGTTTTGAGAATTTTCTACAAGAATCCACTTCAATGAATTGGTCGGAAATTTTAGGGCATTACTATTCACCGCCCCCCAAATTACTAGTCACCGCCCCCCTTGGACAATTTTGCCCCTCTCATTTTTCGTAAACATCTCAGAGAAGTGTACGGTGAAATGTCGTCAAATTCCGAGGTACGAAAAAATTCGTGTCCGGACGTCGGTTCCGGACAGTTTAAAGTCCGTCCGGAACCGGCGGCCGGACGGCTTAAAGCCCGTCCGGAACCGGTGGCCGGACGGAGCAAATACCGTCCGGAAAGCACGGCCGGACGGACCGTGCCTGACCGGAACCGGCGGCCGGTCGGAACCGGTCCGTCCGGTCCGGCCGGCCGGACGGAATATTTTTTTTTTTTTTTTTAAATTATTATCATTATTATTATTAATTATTATTTTTATATAATTTATAATTTATAATAATTATCATTATTATTATTATTTATTATTCTAATTTTTAATATTTATAATTATTATTATTATTTGTTATTATAATTT